GCAATTCTGTTGTTGGTTTTTGTTTAAAAACCGGAAGTTAAATTATTTCACTCGAATTTTAAAAAGACTATCTAGGGCCACTCATGAAGAACTGTAACGAGACTTAATAGACTGAAAGGAAATCGAGATATTATTTTAAAAAAATAGTTTCATTATTTTTACCAGACTAGATCGAGACCATAAAATGTACTTTTCACGTTGCTGAAGTAAAATAATCTTACTAAGATTTCCGAATCAAAATTTAAGAGCACATATTACATCCTGACAAACGAACCATGATTTCGATTAGTGAATAATATAACATAATCCTAATTTAAACCAAACGTTTACTTATTCTACTTTGGTCTTGTTGTTACTTATTTTAAAATTTGTATGCATCCTGATCAGTGTTTCGAGCGTAAATTAGATATAATGTCCAGAAATATTACGATTCATACATAAAAGATAGCTCATTTATTCTTACCAAATTTCTAACAATGTTTCTAATACACTAATGAATTATTCAGCTTTGGTTGTCCTATCTGATTTAATTTATTCTGTTAGGAACGTAATTGTGACATACTCACGTGTTAACATGTTTATCGATCACCTGACTGTTATGATTATCAATTTATGAGATCAAAATTTATAAATTACATTTTATGAAAAAGAACTAGTTTAACCAAATCGTCCCTGTTTAAAATACTAAATTTACCAGTGAATTTATGCTGATAGTTGCAAACATGAAAAACTGATCAGAACAAAGAAACTTTAAAAAGTCAAACGAAAAAAATTCCAATGGAAAAAAACCTTGAATTCAGTTCCACGCAGTTGCAAGTGAATTTATTTGCAATTTCTCATTAATTAGGGCATTTTCCAAAGCTCTGAAGACTACTTTTTTGAAGCCCCAGATGGAACAAGAAGTGCACATCACTTGATTACATTCATGATCATGCCCTCTTTCTTTGTTTTGAAAGCGGCTTTGACAATCCTGCCTGCATGAAATCTCCACCCTATAAGCGGTTGCGATTCCGTGGGTGTGTGAGTCATTTTCTTCTGGCATGGCCGCAGTACCTTAACTCTGTGCCCAAACCTCCTCCTTTATCTGGATCTGACACTGACTGTAACCAGTAAATGAGTTCTAAATTTGACATAAAAATTTCAAAAATAGTGTATAAGAATAGGCTTTTAGCATTTAAGAATAGTGCCATATTCGGCTCTTGGTTTACGATTGCGGTATAATTGGTGAGCGACTTAACAGAAATAATTGTGATCGTTCAATGTCTTCATTCGCACTAACTTTATCTTATTCAAACCACCATTTTTACCTAGTTAATTTCAGTTTTCTTTTGCTTTTCAGTCAGTTTTTCGAATCCCCAGATCATTATCTAAACTCAGTGTAATGAATTAGTCTTCACATAATTTCAATTCGTGATTTGCACGATAATAAGCAGAATCAATCCACCCATTTTCAAGACTTCTCTTTAGATCTACCTAACTAAAGGGTGGTATCTGTCATGATGGAAGCTAATGAATTATCGTAGCCCAGTGAAAATTTGGACACTTACTATCAAACTTTCAGATGATGAAGAAAATTTATAGCTCAGATGGATGAGTGTGGTGAAGTTTCGTTGTCTGAGGTGAATGTTTTGGTTGTCTATCTGAAGTTGGTGCTGATGATGTTCCGCATAAGAACAATGAAAGCCCCGCAACCAAAATATCCAGCTCAGAGAACGACACGTCACCACAATATATAATCTACTAAGCTGAATCGCTTCATAAACGAGCATTTCCGTTATATGATGAATTCGATACCCAGCCTTGAACGACCAAAACTATAAACCTCCCTTAAAGCAAGCTCTTTTGTCAGCAGTGATAAATTATCTGGTCACCTTTTTTATTTCTGTTCAAAGTCTGCATTGCTATTTTACTAGAACTTCATTGTAAACAATTTCACACATGAATGTCCAACCTTCTTTGAAATAACATTACGAATCACCTTTGTTGATTTAAAATCAATTGATTTGTTTATCGAAAAAAATATTCAAATAATAATTTGAACTACATAGTAAATGGTACTGAATCATGTAATCAGAATCATTCAAATATCTTCTCCCTAACTCACTTAGGACAAGATTTCAAGACACATTAACGTCATAATGATCAGCTTCCGTAGTTTATTGTACCTCTAACCTGGATAATAATTTTTTTTCAGATTTCAGTTTCAGCAAAGGAAATGCATGTGATTAACAAACATCGGGTATATATTCATACGCAGTAGTTAAACCGAATACAAGAGGGAATCGAAGGAGATTTGAAATATACAAATCGTTGTACCTATCTGTACTTTTATCAGTCTTACGGAAATTAGGAAGAAATGATACATAGAGAAATAATTCCATCAGGCACAATAATCAAAAATGTATATAACAAAGTTAAAATTTTTATATGATAGTTATTTATAAATAAATTTTTTATAAATTTTATACCATTACTTAAAAGTCGATACAAATATTCTCCTAAAATTTTCTTTTAAGAACATGTGAACTTTCGTACGCAAATAAGTTATATACTATCGTTCATTGTCCTGAATAGCTATTTTAAGACTGCCGTCATTGTTGTCTAATTGTTGATACTATCAAATTTCTGGTAATAATGCTTACGTCATATCTGTTGGGGTTGGGCGGACTGATCATTGGAATATATTGTATTCAGTTTCATATATCTAGAAACCAGGAAAAGAAAATTTTTTCAATTCCTATCAACTATTAAAAACATCATGTTGGTTGTCCTACTCGGAATTACCTTTCAGTTTCAGCCATACTTTCTCTGATACATTGGATGTGTATTCGGGCTTCATCACAGCACTAAATGTGCCTATCATTTTAGCACTATTGGGTTTTAGTCACTGAATTTCTATGTTATTAACATTGGTTAAAAACATTTCAACATTCGAAAATCTTTTAGTATGTTTAATAACTTATTTATCGTTTACAATTTCCACTTGATAGATTAGCTTATTTCTGTCCTAGAATGATTATTCTTAACAATGTAACATTACTTAGATCTACTACAGTCAAAAAAAGTATTGAATATTTTGACTTCGCTGATTACAAAAAAAAAGGATGACAATGTCAAAAAAAATGAGAATTTAACTTTTTTTTTCTATTTGGCTTAGATTTTTGATGTATACGTCAACTAGGAATAAAATATTGACGACGATTTAATCTGTAGTACTAATTTGTATATATACGTTCCTCTTTTTTTTGCATAAATATGTAAATATAATTTAGAATGAATCCAGTGAACAAGAGATATAGTCTTGTTCAATGAGAAATACAAGTGATACGAAGTATTTGACTTAAATTGTTACATAAATCATGACATAAAATTAAAATTTTATTTAAACTATAATTGTATCCTTTTCATTCAATAAAAATAACTTGAAAAGTTTAATCCAAAATATATGATTAGCTTTGTCTTTCCAGTCATAAGACTGGGTGGTATGAACCGTTTTAAGAGTACACGACTAAATCATTTAATTTTTTTTATAAGTTTAAATCAATCGGATGAGTAAAACTTTTATTGGATACTCAGAGAGTATTTATAATTTTCATCAGTTCTTTATCCCTGTTTTCAAAAGGAAACTAAACTAGATGTTGTTTTAGCTTTCTGGAAATCGATGTTCAGTAGTAATTTGAGGTGCTGTGACTAAACACATCAGATCACCAAAAATGGTGAATTCTTCAGCTAAGCTTATTTCTCAGAAGTGTTGTTTTTCCAGTCCATCTTTCATTACTCAACCAAGACTTTTAGAAAAGCTGACAATCACCGTTACTCATGTCTGAAAATCTTTTACTTTCCTCTGTAACGTAAAATATTTAGCTGAAAATCTGACATGCAGTTTAGTAATTCATCTTAGCTCATATCTGAATCCCACCGTTGTTCAATACAATCAGTAATGTTAATCAAAGAACCATTCGAAAATTTATTCATGTATTTCTGCCCACATTTTCAAATATTTACAATGATTCAGTCAGTCTTTATTGAAAAGATCTACAGTTCTTTTTCATAAATCAATAGTCAAAACTAATGAATGTTTAGCCAGTGGCAAGATGATCCAAAGTGTAGAACATTTGTCTAAGGACTTGCATCATAAAGTATCCTCAGATGGAAAACAACCCATTGAGTTGTAGTGCCTCCACATATATTCCAGTTCGCTTACATCTAACTTGGTTAAGCCCTTTCTATTCATTTATTTAACCAAGCCATTTGTATTGCAACAATTTACATGTATCATTCGTTCTGATTATTGTCTGGTTTGTATGAGCTCACATGACGTGTCCCACTTGTCATTTGACCTTGTCAACTATTCGCCACTTTTATTCATGTGTGCCTATTTCGCTTGTCGCATGTCTGTCTTATATTTGTCTGATTATATATTCTTAATCACGCTCTATCTCTTTGGAGTTGGCTTATTAGCCTTCTCCAACGACCTTCGTCCGTTCATTCACCTATTCACTCGCTCGCCTGCTTTCCGGCGCTCGCATGACGATTTTATCTTATAGCGCTTGTTCATACGACTCGCTTCAGTCTCTCATTCGCTCGCCAGTGTACACATATGGTGGGCTTGCGGTTGAAATGGGTCACCACAAATGGTGATCCCGACGTCGAAATCGACACACTACAAATGGTGACCCCGACATTACCATTTGCCTATTTCTAGTTGTCACAATACGATAAACTGAATCATCATCATCTGGATAAGTGAAAAAAAAAGAATACTGATAATTTCCATCAGAGATAATGGAATGCGACAGAAACCTGAATTGCCAACTTGACGTGTTCTGATCACATTTATGATCTTAATTTCAATGAGTGAATTTATCAAGAAGAAATTACTGTCACTAGACAAAAAAAACATTTGAGTGTTTTAAATGACAGAAACCTGTTGCAATATTGTTATTATGTACAACTTACCTACACATTCTTCGAATGAAAATATAATCTATTCTTATTCCCAAAATTATTATTGTATTATTTGAATTTTAATTGCATTCCTGTTTTCTTGTTTTGTTCCATAGAAGTTCGCGGGCACTCAGAAACATTTTAAATTTGATATTGGTACAGATGATCATGCTGAGTCATTCATCTAATTTAACTAGTGACAGCAATAACAACATAGAGAATCGATCAAACCTCATATTGTCAGTAAATAGTACAGTACTCATTAAAACAAATACTCAGTCAACGAAGTCTACTAAATCTATGACTAACTCAACTGATTCATTAGAATGGGCACGTATACAGTTTACTATACTACCTATTCTATCCTTACTTATCGGATGCATAGGAATAATCGGGAACTGTTTAAATTTCCTTGTTCTACATGCTTATCCAACATCTCAAGTGACATTTGGAGGTGAATGTACAGCACGTGTAAATCTACTTGGATTAGCATTAGCTGATTTTCTTGTTTGTTTAACATCTTTACCATTGGGCTACGTCCAACGACGTTATGCAAGTCATTGTTTCATGCTTTATTATACTATTTATGGTCCTGGGCTTGTGACATATTTTCTCACAGTTAGTGTTTGGATGGTGTTGTTAATGAGTATTGTACGCTATCTAGTAGTTTGTCGACCTTTGGTTTCTCGGGCATGTCTCACATCACGTCATATGTTACATATAATTACACTGTTGTATTTGCTGGCATTGATTTTTCATATCCCATCATTTTTAACATATACATATAGTGAAGAAAAAGGTATTCAAAAAAGAATTTTAAATTCAACTATCCAACCATCGGAACAACAAATTCATCGAAAAACCTATCTTACAAACACAAGCAGAACTAATTTCAATAAAACTGAAAAAAACTATCCAGTGACAATTTTTGTTATTGAACGTGAAATCTGGAAAACTGAGAGTATACGTATAGCTTATACTGTTAGTCAAATAATCTTGACAAATATCGGTCCATTCATTGGTGTAGTCATAACCAATGTGTCAGTGATTAGAGCATGTCGTCAAAGTGATGCATGTAGAAAATCATATACATATGATTCGCATAAAACATTTGAAAAATGTATGAATCATAATGTAACTCAAGAGCACTCCAGTACACAAATAAGACTGCAAAAACGTTATCTGCAGTATTTTCAAAGAGATTCAAATAATATACATCAACAACATATAGGTAGCGGTAGCTGGCGTACGAACTCACAAGGTAAAGCATCAGCTCAACGTTTACAACAGAGAGCCACAAATCGTGTCACTCCATTACTACTTGCGGTTATCATAGCATTTCTACTATTCACTGCACCATTCGGAATTGTACACTTTGCTTGTTTGCAAGTAATGAGTGAAATGGGTTCTCTTGTTCGCCATGACAGAAATGCTCGTATACTATATATGACATTAAATTTAACTGTAGAATGGACTAATGTGATTCAATTATTGGGATGTGCATCGAACTTTTTTCTCTACTTTCTTGTATCTACCACATTTCGTCGTACGACTAAACGTCTTTTCCAACGTTTTTATAGAAATGCTCGTGAATATAAATGTCCAAATATTTTAAGTGTTTTATGCTCAGATACAAAAGATACTTCATGGAATTCAGATACTAGAACAAATGAACTACGTAGAAAGTTAGCTGATAATTTAGCGCAACAATTTCATCCACAAGTTGTACCAACTGCTAATTGTCAACATAATGAAAATCAATGTAAACTTGGTCATACTTCCAGCATCATCACCACCACCAACAACAATAATAATAATAATAATACTAATAGCAATGAAAGTGATAAACGAATTCGTAATTCATTAAAGTTGCAATTTTTTCGTTTAAATCGTAAACGTTCAAAGAGTACACAAAGTCAACCACTAAACAATAAATCCCCATTAATCATGAATCCTTTGTGTAATGTTAATGATGATTTTCTTGGTATACATACAAGTCCAATGTCTTGCATCAATTCGTCCATTTCAGATAGAATATCTTGTAATTGTGTTAGTTTACATCATGCACATTATAAATATTTAATGAACACATCGATTTTGGCTAGCTCCTTAAGAGGATTAACAATCTGTCCCGATTGTGCACATGTTATTGGAGGCTATACTTCATTACCAGAAAGTAAATCATGCCTGTTAAAACCTTGTAGCAGTACAAGTAGTAAGAGTAATACTCACTGTTTAAATAATACAACAACAAATATATCAGAAAATCTAGGTATGATAGCATCCATTACTGATGGTCAAAATACTTGTCAACACTATAGAAATTCAACCAATTCAGTAAATAACATTAATAAAATCAATATCGACAGTGACAATGTGAATAATGAACACACAAATATTTCTGATAATATACCTATTCAAAGTGTATCAAACTGAAAATTAGAGTAAAATTCAATCATCATCATCTTCATCAACATACATTTCACCTTTTAGATTTTTAGGTATATTTTTTGTCCAGAGTTTTGTTCTTTATAGCAATAAGATACTAATCACAAAAGACTAATCTATTTTTCATGATTGAACTGTTGTATTAGAGTTTGTGGAAAAGTGATTAAATTATCATCATGCTTAAAAGATCAATTAAAATAAATAACGATTTTAATTAAAAAAAAACTGCTACATTTTTTAGGGATTTATACATAAACAATGGTGAAATTGTAAAATAATCTGTTCGAAACTATGAGTTTTGTTACATTCTCATCACAAATTGATTAGTTGTTTGTTGAATGTTATCAAACTATGTCTAGAAAATCAACAAAGACGACCACTTCCTTACCTGTGTGCTCAACTTGTATTTGCATAATACTACTACTACTACTACTAATAATAATAATAATAATAATAATAATGTATGGTTCCAATGTACATTCTGTACTGTTCATAAATTTTGAATTATAGAAAATTCTTTTAAAAAAAGTTCCATATTTTATCACTAAACTGAATTTGGTTGTTTGGACCTGAAACTTGGTCACAAATCTTATTTATACTTATGTGCAGTTGTTTTAATTTGACGAGAATATTAAGAAGCGATTTACTGGAAAAGACAAATTATTACAAACTGTAGTGAAGTGTACTGTTGTTATGTTATCAGTTGAGAGACAATTATATGTTAAAAACCCACAGCTGCATATGATATTTAGCTCATGCGCTAAGGTCTATCATATTTCCCATTACTCGCAAGGCAGAATATAGTGAACCGTATTTTCCAGATTTAGTCAATTGCACAATAGTGCTACTAGCATCCCATGTTACTGGTGACCTTTAAATCAGTATGAATCAACCATCTTCCTATGATTCGCCTCCATTGAAATAGTTATAATATTTGACCTTTCTTGGTATGATAACCATGTATTCAAATGCCATATACAAGTAATTGAGCAAAGTGTATAAAGCAAGATAGATGTATTTCACTGAAATACAGTTAAGATAAAAATGTCAACATGCAATCCATAATCGGACGAAATTTTCAAAATATATGGGTGTAATGCACAGATGTTGTTGCTAAACTAAAACACCAAATACTGATGAATGAATGCTAAGACAGATGAATCATAATAAGTCAACTGATTAACATTTCATTCGAGGTCACATTGTTATGTCTATAGGATTTCGGAATATGTATTAAAAAAAAATGATATGAAAATCAGGTAAAGTGAATATGTAGGGAATTATGGAATTATGTGTTTCATGGAGGAAACAATGACACCACTACTAATATTACCCTAGACGAACAAGATTCCAACAAAAACGTGGAATAGAACCGTTATTACTAAGAGTTCACTGAACAGATGCTATCATGAACTGATACATTAAGGTAACTAATCCACTACACATAGTTTATTTCACTCACCAAAGTTACATCTAATTCAATGGTACATTGATATCGATAAATATGTAGCGCGATCAATTACTCAGAGTAAATACATCAGCCGAAGACATGTATGCACGATAGTTTAATCTTGAAAATGAAACAAATAACAACGAATGAGTCTACTTCAAATTCATTATTCTGTTAGAAATTTAGGTTTGTTGTACTCTCAAATCCAATAATAATAATAATAATAATAATAATAATAATAATAATACTGCATACAATATCAACTAGTATATTCAAAAATTGTGATGAGTTATTGGTAATTGTCAATATATTTAAATTGTTAGTAGAAACTTGCAACATCGATATTTCGAAGGATAAACTAAGTTGTGAGTTGTTTAGGGGATTCCAGTCAGTAACCTATATTACGAAGAATATAAAAGCGGAGCGAATTGAACGGAAAATTAACGTAAATTAATCTGCTGTTCTTTAAATAACATTATAATAACAAAAAGTTTGTGATCACTTGAGTAGTTGACATTTTATTCTATTGTTTTTAGTTCACTGTCAGTTTTTTGTTGTCATCATGTTGTTCAAGTTATTCTTTATCTTTTTCATATTCATCAAGTGAACAATTATCTTCCACATATTTAGCTTCGTTTCATTATTTTTCTTCAATGTCACATTTTTTGTTACATAACTGCTTTTTGATACGTGAAATTTTCGAACAGTTTATTATGTAGTCGTATTTAGATTTTTTTGTGAAATAACTCCAAATTTGATTTTGCAGCTAGAGTACATGATATCGTCAAAAAGGATGTTTTCTTGAAATGAGTAAGTGACAGAAATTATCAGAATACATTTGAATGTCTTGTTAACTAGATATCATATTCAATTAGCCCATAATCAGTCTCGTCTTACTGATCATTTCATATCTAAAAATGTTAAAATCGAGAAATGGATAATGCTAATACCATTGATTAAATGTCTGACAGATACATTATTATGAAGTGAAAAAGAGAAATTATTCATAAATTGTTGCCAACAAATCCTACACTTGTCAAAATAAGACAGACAGGTTATTAAGAGTTACTTGGGTCCAAAAAGTTACAGGTGGTTTGAAGACAAGTGTAGACCAGAGCGAGAGAGACAGTGAAGTATATTTAAGATCTGAATAAAAAAAAATGACAATTTTTTGCATAATATGTACTCTACAAACGATCGTAAAAGCTGAAACTGCCATTCATTGACCAGTTAGTTGTATGAAAAAAAGGTTTTAAAACTATTGTCAATATTCTACTAATTTCAAATGAACATGCGTTTACCTTTGTAGGAACTGGATGGTATTTGACAGACAAATTACTCGGAGGCAAATAAGACCATCGTGTGCAATATTGTGTCTTCTAATTACACTATGATTCATCATAATACTAAACAATAAATGATAATTAATTAACAGAATGTAACATTTTTGGTTGATAAAAGTAAAAAAAAATTCGATCAGCTGTCTTCAAGGATTAATTTTATCTGTTAAAAGAATATCACAGGAAGTAGGCTGAACAAAACAAAAATGTGTGAAGGACACGAAAATGTAATGCATGCAAAACGATTATTATTGAATGATTACATGATGAATAGGTTTGTTAGTCTTCTCATAAATAAAGGCTTCGAAAAGAGACTTACATGTAGTTTCGTAGCCATGGCATATATCATTCGAGAAAATAAATATGGAAAATAGCATTAATGCCATAATCAGAAATTAGATATGATGATCAGGTACCGTTGCGATGAAATAAACTAGGGGTTCGGCAATTACTCATTTCCTCTTATAAATGCTTTACTTCTTGAAATGTTTGTTATTAATTAACTGACGAATATTCGCGGCTAAAATCTTGATAAATCGCTAAAGCTAACATAATGGTACTGAAGAAGACTGAGAATAAGACTTTGGTATACATTTGCGTATATTAATTGTATTAATCTGACCAATGATTCTGGTTTTGAACATAAGCCTACTTTAATAAAATATCTAGTGACCCAGAAAGAGAAATGGATGATTAATAGTCAACTGAGAGGTTCTTTGGTGATACTTTGAATGATTGTGTATCCATACGTTTATGCGTCCACAGGTTTTATTTCGATAAAAACAGCGAAAGAAAGTAGTTATTTTTAAAAAAGTTTGGGATGAAAGTTATGTACAGAATAATCTTATTGCTATTAATAAGTGCTTAAAAAGAAACATTTCTAAATTGGGTGAATTTTTTCAAATCAAACAGAGACAAATTTCAAGATCTTCGTTGCATATGCATACGGGATTGTGCAGATTGTTAAGTTACACATTTTTGAAACCATGAATCGATCAATGTTAGATCACCATTAGAAACCTGGAAGCACTGGACGACCGTTTAGCCCTGGTATGGGACTCATCAGCAGTGCGCATCCACGACTCCTGCACCTCGCAGGATTCGAACCCAGGACACCCGGTATTGTGCGCGAACGCCTAACCATCGGACCAATGAGCCGTTATCTAACCATGTTAATGTCTAACTTGATCTATATATATAGGGTGTATTATTTATAGAAAGTATGATGTGTTGACAAAAATTTCAGATCAGTTGTCTAGACTTGGTAACTGAAGGGTTACGTGATAAGTAAGCAAGATTTGAAGGCAACTACTTAAGTTTAAAGAAACGAATGAATGAAAAAATGATTTTAGAGTACATAAAATAAGCGTTAGTTTAGCCTAATGTTGTACTGATAACAATAAAAAGTGACTTGAAAATGCGTACATATGCACTTCTTGTACTTTTGACGTCACAAAATTAATGATAAAAATATATTCTGAAAATAATAGTCACGGAATACATACCGGTTTACAGTCATGATCAACTTGATACAATGTAAGCGATAAATACGTCCATGTTTCATTGTTTGGAGTGTTCTAGTTCGAAAATTGTTTAGGAATGCATATAACAGTAATGCAAATTGTCATTCAAGAACTGTTAATTCTATCTAACTAAGTATCCTATTAGTGTACGAACACTGTATTTAGTGTCGTTTTCAGTGCCATAGCTCATTGGCTATAATCATCTACAATTGGAGAGAACAAAGCGGAAACATAAGGTACGGAAGAACGAAAGCAGTAATTACAGCGATAGGTCATTCAGGCCTATCATGATTCAGGTACAAGGTCATTTTACAATTTAATTATCATCGGGTAACATACTTTACAAGTTAGTTAAATTTCCAGCGGACAGTATTAAATTAAAGTATCTGCAAGTAAAAAGGTTTCATTATTGGTTTCGAATATATACTAGTAAAATGATTCATTTAAAGAGAACATTTAAAATGAGATTGTGCCTTTAATGACAATGAGTTACGGATGCTATAAACAGGAGTTTGTGAATATCGAGTAGCTTCATCGGATGTTAAGCATAGCTTAGTAAGTATTTTGAAGAGATAAATTAGATTAGGTTTAAGTTTCCTTTTCTATAAACAGTTTAGTTCAAGTTTATAACATCTGGCTTCATAAATTTAAGTACAATCAGTCCTAAGAATGCGTAGTGTAGATCGCCTCTGAATGGATTCCAGCTTTAATTTATCCTT